CACTCCCCGAATCGAGCTAATTAGGCCCGGGTTCCTAAGTTCCGTCTTCCTCCCGCAAGTTCTAACGCGTGTTCGTCCATATTGAAGGACAAAGCAAGCAAGTGGTTCTTTTATTTCCTGCAGCTTTTTCTTCGTGATTACACACGCAACACCTCGAGAGTAAGGGAAATTACTGCGTGGCTTATGTCTTACAAATCTCGCGATTTTGTAATAGTAACTCATCGGTTTTTTCATCTTTGCATCTAGCACGGGAGGCTGATCATGGTTGCTTGAAATCTGAGACTTGGTCCCACTCTTTGGCGCAAATTAGCTGCTCGTCTAAAATATTTTGGCTATAGATATACCATTCAGTGTAGACTTTGCTACCCATAATATTTCTTAACCATCCCCATAAGCTTACCCATAATATTTCTCATTCATCCCCATATCGCAATGAAAAATGTTGCAGCCCTGTACGTCCTGCAGCAGGAATGACCTCTTTTCTTCCTCAGGCGGATAACCATCACCATACAATTTGTATATTAGGTTGTCCCAAAAATTTTGTCGGTTTCTTTCATCGCTCACTAAAATTACAGAACACCAATCCATGGACGACTTAGGTGCCGTTTGAATCAGATTCTTATTCTCTCCCTAACATCTATACTTGCTCTCTGACTTACTCTGTCTTTGCAATATTATCGCCATGGGTTTTTGAGCATCTCAGCAGTAAGATTAAATATTTCCTGAATTTTAGAATTCTTTATACTGGTGTTTCCAAAGAGCGCTGGTAATTGTAAAGTAGACCAGATCTTTGGCTACATTGCAATCATTTTAGATTACGTGGGCCGCGTTTACCAAGTCCGTTTATAATTATTTATTTAATAAAAACCGCAGATTTTTGATTAAGTTTAACACGTAAAAATACCACAAATTCCAAAAAGCTGCTTTTCAAAGCGAATTAAAGTTGGTTATGTTGCATAAATAATGTTTAGTAAGATTCATGTTCCAATACGCAGAAATTCAAAAGCTTTCGCGTTTTGCCAAAAATCGAGACCTCCGGAGAAATAAATTTTGAAGCCAAACACAGCAGATTAGGAGAATCTAAAAATACCACCTTGTAGTCCGAGAACTGCTCTATTTGTTTCAAACTTAACCCTTTTCGGAACTTTGGAATAAAATTTTCAAAAATTAGCCTAGCTTTGAGCAGGTAAAATTGACTGGTGGAGAATTTTGACAATTATCAAAAAAAGCATGCAAGATTGTGGCTCGAAAATGTTTTTATAAGAAAGACAAGGAAAGCCGCATCGAATGCATTTTGAAACACGCTCAGGTCTTTTATGTGCGTGGTTTTACAGTGGTTTGAAAATACCGACAAAACTTTCGGGATAACCTAATATATACTCATCCCTGCTTGTGTTGCAGTGAATTTAGCACAAGAGTGCTGAAATCAGTTTTACAAAAGAGTCAAGCATTAGCATTTGTTTTTCTATGTTCTTCCACTCTTCTATGTTTAGCAATAGCTCTCGCAAGACAATAGAGCTTACCTTTTTGAATAACATAAGTTTGAATGAAAAACTGCCAGAATTTTACATAACTCAATTCCCTGATTTTCGCAAGGTACGATATCGTAAAATAAAGACACTAGTTTGTGATAATGAGCTTCGCTACCTAATGAAAAACTTTTCTCTTTCTCGTTCCAAGACCTCAAGGCGTTCATGGCTGCTCCTAGAAGCGGTTCATTTCTGTAAAAAACCAGATGAAGAAATGATCTAATTCTCAATAATTAAAATGCAATTAGTCACTTGCTTCAAGCAGTTGCTCGAAAAACTTGTCGAACGCAATAAAGGCTTCATTCATGCTTTTTAACATCCCACGCTAACCCCTTCTGCCTTCAAGAGCCTCATATAAGCCTGCACAATTTCGCATGAATAGATCGCGTCATTGATTGTTATTGTTTCGTTTATTCTGTAGTTTAAAGCTACAAGATTTTTCTCAATTTTAGTGACACGTAACAACAAACAGTTCCCGCGCCCTCACAGCTGCAAGCATAAATTGATTTATATAGGAGACTAGCTGGCTTACCGGGCTCCGCCCGGCCGTGTCAAAACACTATAATAAGGGTTCCAGCCTTGCTTTCGTACAACCTTTCTCTGTGCCCACTTCTACATGCTATTCCCCTTTGTTAGTAATCAGCATGCTCACTTACCTCCTTGTGCCAACTCCCAACCCCGTAGCTCAAACTTTGCAAAAAATCGATAAAATCGATAGAAGGAACGGGTATTTTTTGAAACTAACATTGTTTTCATAATCAGCATGCTCGATTACCCCCCTGTGCCAACTCTCAGCCCCGTAGGTGAACTCTGCAAGCAACTGATAAAATCGTTATCGATCGATAAGAAAAGTAGCCTATGACACCCGCCCTGCCCCGAAATGTATGTGTGCCAAGTTTGGTCCGGATCGGTTCAAATATAAAAATTTCTATTCGGAACATACGTACAGACATACAGACAGACATACAAACAGACATTCACTTTTATATATAAGATTTAGCCCCATGTTCCATTCTTGGATTGCTTTTCCTTACAGATGTATTACGCTGAACAGCAGCTGGAGTGAACATGTTAAACTGTGTTTGCTGTAGCAACAATGCATAAAATTTCTAGAATTTATCAAAGCTTCAGAAATATACTATTCAGATTCTTTTAGCATTGGATGCGCCTTTCCATCTAGTTTACGACAGTAATTTATTCCAGCATCCAAATTCCCTTGCCAGTTCAATGTTGAGATTTTGTGATGAACGGTTATGGTAGAGATATTATAACTACTCAGACAATCGCTGTGGGCAGGCGGGCACCGGAAAAATAGATTGCTGATTTCTCTCACCCTGCTCGCGGATTTTTTGCAAAGCAATCAGGACTTTTTGGAAGACCGCTTGCTGAGTCAGCGGATTTTTGAGAGACCGCCTGTTGAATTTTTTTATCGTTCTTATCTTTTGCAGATATATTGCTGAATCTCTGAGAAATCGAGAACTCAGCAAGCGGTCTTCCGAAAAGTCCTGACTGGTTTTCAAAAAATCCGCGAGCGGGGGTGCGAGAGATCAGCAATCTATTTTTTCGGTGCCCGCCTGCCCCCGGCGATTGTCTGAGTAGGTCACTCCTTATTGTGTCCATGCTATGCGTTAAGCAAAGACGGACTTTAAGTCTCGTCCGATCTTTAACATAAAACGGAACATGAATAAGACCGGAAACGATAGATATGGTCTCGATAAATTATATTACGTTAGCAATAATACCATCATACGATGCACGGCTTACCAATGAAGTATTGCTGCCCAAACGCGCCAACAACATTGTAAAAGCGCGTATCGAAAAACTTTCTTGGCCGAGGTGCAAAAATTTTCACATTGAATACAATACAACTGCAGGCCAATGAACGACATCTTTATTATCGGTCGAGCCTTGGTCACTCCAAGTATTGATGGAACCTGTTATATCAATGTTCTCAATCCATCCATGTCTCATATTACACTTCCAGGAAAGCTCAAGATAGCAGTGACACATCCTGCATGCGCCGGAAGTATGGGTACAGAAATTACAAGTCTTACAATCTAGCTCGCCCGAGGACTTTCTTTACCCTACAGTCACATACATCAAGGATTTCGCAACGTATGTACATGTTGGTAATGACTATCGGGCTCCACCAGAGGCAGATTGGGAAGCTCGTCTGTTTAGTCTTACCGTCTCATGATTACGATATTGCTAGGGAAATCTCTATCACATTTCAGTTTGACGGAGAACCAAAAAAATCGGTCAGAAATATTTTTAGACATTACAACAATGCTTTCGTGGGGCCAGACGTTCACCTTGGACATTATATAGAGAATATACGACATCGTCCTTATTGAAAATGCGACGCTAGAAAAGCGAGAGGAGATTGTGAGACAAATAAGTCAAATGCTGAAGGATGGAATTATCAAAGAATCAACATCCTCATTTTGTGCCCTTATTTTGTTGGTGAAGAAGAAAAAGAGAAGCGAAGCGAACCCTTGGCGCTTTACAACTGACTTCCGCAGCATCAACGCTATCACAAAACCACAACAATCAATTCTCTCGAATATCCAAGATATCATCGATCTTTGCGTTAACTGCGTTGCCTCTACTCATCATCACTTGACTTTCAGCAAGGACGTCACTAGATCTTGCTGGAAGAGGAACAATGCGATAGAACAGCATTCGCATGTTTTCTTGGAGCCTTTGAGTATATTCGGATGCCTATGGGATTGAAGGGAGTTCCTGCTACCTTCAAAAGGATATTGAATGATTTCAAGAAGTACCTGAGGGCGAGAGTTTTTCATATACATTGACGATCATATCATCACTTTAGCCAGCCCGAAAAAACACTTGAAAGGTATTGACGAAGTCCTGGGGAAGATTGAAGTCCTATGAATGAAGCTAAAGGCATCTAAATGTGAATTCGTAAAGAAAGAAATTGAGCCCTAAGAGATTTATCCTGAGTAAGGAAGGTGTAAGGCCCGATTTCGAGAAAACGAAAGCTATCGACAAGAACCACAACCAACGAATGCAACGGAAGTCGAGTCGTTTCTATTAATGTGCTCATTTTTCTGAAGATTCATACACAACTTAGATACTGTTGCTGCCCCGCTCACTGCAGTAACAAAGAAGAGTACCTTTTGATTGGAGACCTTACCAAAGAAGCTATGAACCAGAAAAAAGCACTAACGACGGCACCTGTGAAAACATTTGATTGTTAGTGTAATTTCTTTGTTGATTACATCACCAGCTAGTAAAATAGTAATAAACAATAGTCCGGTAATTAACAACGGCGATAAGCAAGAAATAACCATTTGTTACAATGGAATGTCCTCCAGTTTAGGACCCAGTGGTAATGATAAAGCTGAACTGTGTAAAGGAATATGCGTGATGAGTTTAGGAGACGACGTTGGACGCTGACGACGAGAGTCAACGCACAATGAATTAGAAGATTTGTGATGAATTTAAAAATCAATAGCACAACTGCAAATGGAAAGTGCAACAACTTCTAGTAAGAGAGCCAACAGTGGAGACTTACCAATATTTTAACGGGGATCCAATAAGCAAGATCGAATAGCAGCTTGACCGGAGATCCTTCGCAATTGTCTAGCTTATCGTCACAGAAACATCGGAATTGGTCATCTACTTCCAAGCATATTCCTCTCCGCATACACTCATTAGGATAGTATCCCCTGTCTACCGCGGTCATCTAAAAAGATAATGGTTGCGCAAGTGTACCCGTCTGCGGAACATGACTTGTATGAGGCAAATGACACCTTAGTATAGTTATCTTACAAATAAGATACTCGCGCCAAGACTCTCGGCCGCACAACCATTCCTTCCGCTTCTGGTGCGACCCGCTTGGATATTTATATTGCTGAAGTGCGCACAATAGAAGAGAAAAAAGAAGATTTTGATCAAACCGTACCAAGATGGTGAATCATTGGCTTGTAAGCAGCTGGGCGCCAGCCGGAAACAAAGAAGAAACATGGCGTAGAAGAAACCACTGATCGTAGACCATATTCTGATGTTTTCTAAAACGCTTGATCAATAACGAGTAATCTCCAGAGCTTGAAAAAAATAAAGAGCAAGTCATGATTGCGGGGCGCAACCTTTCAGTACCCCGTAGATGTAAAGAATGTTTACTCTCCGAGGCTCTCATGTGCGACACGCTTGTATTTGCACGGCGACAACTTGGTTAGAACGGCAATAGCTTCTAGGACCGGATCACTCAACGAGATACGAAGGAACTTTCGGGAACTTGTGATGTGAAAAATGAAAATTGGGAAGTGACGAGTGTGGAGGTAGTCAACGGCACGATGGAGCCGGTCGAGATAGAAGTGTGGAAGTGTTCTTGGGTGAATTTCATTGGTTCCCTACAACTTTTACCTTACTATCAAGTAATGCACTTACATGAAACATCGATAATTGCTAGAAACTCAATCAAGGAACAGTATAAATATGTGAAGTTATGTTTGTGAGACACAGTAATCTCATGGCATCAAGTCAGGCTTTACTGTTTTTTCCCTTCATAATTCTATTCATTCCCTCTTTATCCAGACCACAGTTTTGTTTTCGCTCGCTGTACTTTCCTGTGTTTCATTTGTTCATTGAAATCTCAAAATAAATTTTGTTGGGGAACTTGGGTTATGACTTTTGTTTGAGACATTTATACAGATTACCGTAATCAAAATAGCACAAGTTAGTCCAGGGTCGTTATCAGGTTTAAGGTACCAACCGGAACCTTACACTCTGACGGTGTGACATCTATCGCAAGCTAGTTTAAGCACGTATAAGAATGGCTTGCGCGCAGCGGTTAAGGGGCAATTTTCTAAGCAGAAGCAGAATGCTGTGCACTCGGACTTGCTCCGTTCTCATGCGTCGGTTGCAAGCAACTTTCCATATAAAATTTTCGAGATGTTTGATCTTGTCGAGCCACTGCCTTTAAGGGCGGCAATTCGGCATTTGTAATTATCCAGGTGACCTAATATAGCCATAACACGATGCTATTTAGACGATGAAACTTTGTACCGCCCACGTCTGGACAAGAGTTCAAAAAAAGTAATACCCGCTAAACAGTGTTTGGGAGATACCGCAAAAACAGCTGCGGTTCCTAAGGACATCATTACTCACCTCAAATGCGATCTCCGTAAATGCCCCGTCTTGTAAATTCTCTTAAAGACCCATCTCGGCGACACACTTCTTGCCTTCGCGGACTCTGTACCTACAAAGGCCCATTGTAAGTGGTGTTGGAGGACACACAAATAGGATAGCTTGGTTGCTCAACAAATTTTTTTCGCCGCTTCTCAAACATGTTCCGGCTCATCTCACTGAAGCCAAAATGTTTTTGGAGAGGCTGTGGAATGCTAACTTGAGATATGGTAGGTCATGGGATCCTTTGATGTGAAAGTACACGAATGTGTTCAACGAGGCAGCCATGCAAGCAATCTTTGAGGACAATCTTGTATGTAAACATTAGCAAACCATCAATCTGTGTGAGTTTACTACGGGGCAGCTGATAAATTCTTCACGAGTTCTGAATGTAGCCTTTCGCTGGGCAGAACAGTATTATAGAAAAATATGATGAGGTTTAGATATGTGGCAAAGTGGCTCCTACACTAGGCCTTGCTCATACGCTCAAAGTAGGAAGGCCGATCTTACAGCCTAAATCTTATCTTAGCGATGCTGCAGTCAACATAAAGCTCACGATCTTGTCGTAGGAAGCGGAAATTGTATCACGCAAAACCCTTGGAAAAGCCTTGGATAATGGTTAAAAAGCCAAAATTGAGCCGCAAAGACAAGTGTGTAACGGTGACACAAGAACTTGCCTCCTATTAAACTTATGAAATCCGCGACCGTGTATGGTTAAAACGCTGTACTGAATATACGCAAGCCGCCAAATGTTAGGACAAGCGGTGGTGTAATGATAAGGAGAAGAAGACGCTGACGTCAAAGCGCGACGAGAGAGTCTTACAACACGCATGGTGCACTCTGTTGCCGCATTTGCTGTGTTGGAAAATGAAAGTGCTGCCAAGTGTGTTGAAACATCGATTATCGATTTTTTCACCCATCCTACTACACTACTTATTCCAACTGTATATTTAATTAACCATGCTGTATGAAAGGTGGCTACCAATATATTAAGCGGCTGTAAAATTCGCCATTGATTTTACCAATTTGCGACCTTCAAGCTAAGGAGGACAAGGGTGGCACGGCGGAGAAAGTGAGCATGCCGATTACGGTAAGACCTTTCTTGAAAACAACCATTGCTTTCTTAGATTTTATCCGTTATTTACAACCTTCCTAAAACCGTGGATTTTGGCGCAGGGAGTGATTGAGTACATTGATGACAAATATAGTAACCTTTTAAAAATACCCAAAAGGTTGCTGAGTTTTATCGACTATTTGCCAACTTCGAGCTAAGAGGGGTATTTGAGCATGTTATTAATGTTTATAGCAAGGGTGCCTTCATACCGCGCCAGCAGCCGCCGCTGGTAGCCTGTAGCAGCCCGTAGCAGCCTGTAGCCGCCGCTGGCCGCTTTCGTTATATAAGCAAAACTATCAAAATCTTTTTACTTTGAGTGCTCCTGTCTAGGCTTTTCTTTTGTTGCCGCTAGTACGCGGTTTGACCACATATCATATATGTGTCCATTGTTGTCATTACCTTCTTGCTGTATGGTCATTTTGTTGAAACACAGTTGATAGAAGGTTCATTCCGGTGTAATTCGCTTGAATTTGGATGCGTCCGGTTCCGGCAGGTGTGCAATTTGTTTTTTGAGTATGTTTTTGCTTCATTTTCATGGCTATCGGTGCATATGTAACTTGCATTCTACTATTTCGCAAGTACGCCGGGATTCATTTGCGGGTTGAGTTTTTCTTGCTTTGATAATCGCCCACATTTTTGTTAATAAGACAGATTGCAAAAGAATGTGAGCGCGATAGGATACAATGTGCGGAACAGAACAATGAACGCAAATGACTTGTGGGGAGTTGAACTGCATATTAGCGATAATAAGAAGAAATACGTAGAAGATGAAAGCGTAAGCACGAGCACTTAAAGGCACCGTCCACCCTAAGTTGAGGGTGTTGAGCTTTTGGTAGCATATGTAGGGCCCTCATTCAATCCAATGCCCAAGTTGCGGCGCAAAGTGCCGCTTTAGAAAATCGCTTCGGAATCATAGATGCGATAGGTGGAGAAATTTCTCTGACCCCCTTCATTTTAGGGCCGGCATCTGGCTGACCCCTTTCACCTGAGGTTGAGACTAATCAAGGCAAACAGCTATTACAACGGAACTTTTGTTTGGAAAGGCCAGCTGCTCTTCTCCTCAGACATCAAGACTGCAAGAGAGTATCGAATCAACAACGTTTCGTTAAAAAACGCATGCTTGAGACCTTCTGCGCGCTCAAAGGGCGTTGATAACGAAACGTAATCAAAAAGTAAAAGGTAATTTTTCAAATAATTAACATTGTATCAATGAATACATACTTTGCAAAAAAGAGTTGAGCAAGAGTAGAAAAATCTGAACCGACTAGCGATGGATGCATGTTTACTGACAAAAAAACATACCAAATCTTTTTTCACTAGAGAGAATAATAACAAACAAAACAACAGTCAGATTACTCGTTTTTCATGCTTTCGATTCATATATAAAAGTTCGAAAAAGACCTTCTTGGTTGGAAAGTATAATTATCCAAAATTGGCTGATATTGTAGCTAGATAAAACTGCTCGTATCTCGCTTCACAGAGAAGCTACGAAAAAAGAGACGGTCTACGTCGATTCCTCGCGTTCTTAGCTATCGAATGGTTTATAAGGTGTTGGAGCACAAAGCTTTCCCAGTCCAAAAAAGTCTTGCTCCGGCAACCCATAGAAAGCCGGAGCGGGGTGGAGCAAGTTACTATTGAATATCTCCACCTCATTTTTAAGAAACCACAAGTTTTTTCACCCGACAACCTGTACACCATTAGAAAGCCCACAAAAAATGGATTTGACGTAGACCGTCTCTTTTTCTCTAGCTCCCCTCTACTTAGAGTTACACGGGATTTTAGCCAAAAAGATGTGTGTTTTTGTCGAGAAATTTCTGCGTGAAGAATGGATAAAGGTGCCTGATTTTCTAACTGCATCACAGAGCAAGACCTTGCCAGTAAACGTAGACCGTCTCTTTTTTTTAATCTTTGTTCTTTCCTTCAAAAATAAATTACAAAATAATTACACAAAATTAGCTGGTGAGTAGGCGTATAAAATCGCTCGTATCTCGCTCTACAGAAAAGCTATGAAAAAAGAGACGGTCTACGTCGATTCTCCATAATCTCAGCTTTCGAACGGTGTGAAGCATGTTAGGGCTTTTCTGCTTCCCGGCTCTAAAAAGCACTTGCTCTGGTGACCGATAAAAGCCAATACATTAGGGGAGCTGGGTGGAGCAAGCTAATAGTAAATACCTCCACACCATTTTTAAAAACTGGCAAGTTTTTTCGCTCAGCAGTCTATATACCATTCGAAAGCTCAGGAAAAGGGGACTCGACGTAGACCGTCGAATTCTTTCTAGCCGCCCTTTATCGAGAGATACACTGCATTTTACCTGAAATCATGTTCATTTTCAACAGCAAATTTCTGCCAAACGAAGACCTAATCTGCTGGTTATCTATCTGCGTTACAGAGCAAGTCTTCATTAGCAGACGTAGACCGTCGACTTTCTCGTAGCATTCTTTTGGAGAGCAGAAAGTGAGGACACAAAATTAGTTGACACATGAAGTACATAAAATTCCTCATATCTCGCGGCACAAAAGACCTAGGAAAAAGCCGACGGTCTACGTCGATTCTATATGACCTCAGCTCTCGAATGGTTTGTAACTTGTTGGGGCATTTTGCTTTCAGGGCTCACTTACCCCCTTCACCTTACAAGGATGGGAGTAGTAAAGACCCCCTTCACCTGGAGAGGGCCCGGCTCCCCCTATCGCACCTATGTTCGGAATAGCGAAGATGCACGAGGACCCCCATCCATGTCCCCCTCCCCCATCCATGCCCGCCCACTTGTGCACGCCCATCCAATCACCGTTGCGGGAAGCCGGCCTGTGGGTTCACCGGAAGGGAGATTGTCGGGGTTTTCGCACAATCTCGACTTCAATTTGGAATCAGGGACATGAGAAGGCCGGAACGACAAAAACGTGGAAGCCGAAAATCTGGGTGGACGGTGCCTTTGAAGTAGTAAGATTTTGACGATTTTTCTCCTATAACAAAGGCGGCCAGCGGCGGCTATGGGCTGCCACGGGCTACTGGTGGCTGCTACGGGTTGCTGGTGGCTGCTGACGGCGCGGTATGAAGGCATCCTAACAATGTTGACTTTGTGTTCCAGTGCCCTGGATGTTGTAATCTTCACTGATACTGACGTTTCGGCGTCCTGGCCTATATCATCTTTTAAAGTCTAAAACCACTTATAATGAATTCATTCAAACGGCGCATTCGAAGAGATCTATTCAAGAGATCAACTGAGATTACAGCGAATGAAAGCGAACCCGAAGAAGTGCTTACCGTAATACAGTTATTGTTGGAGCCAAGGCCACCCGTACGAGAGCACAATGAGAGGCACTAATTACAACGCGCATATTTATGCATTAAAAACCCGCCAACGCAGCCCGCCAAAAAAACCTCGTTCCTCCTATAGTTCATCCTAGTCGTCACGTTTTTTGAATTTTTTTTCTTTTTTCTAATTTTTTGAATTCAGGTTTATATTATACTGGGTTGTCCCGAAAGTTTTGTCGGTTTTTTTAAACCACTATAAGACCACGCACAATAAAGATCTGAATGAGCTTTAACATGCATTCGATGCAGCTTTTCCTTCTACTTCTTATGGAGATATTTTCGAACCACAATCTTGTATGCTTTTCTTGATAATTGCCAAAATACTCCACCCGTCAATTTTATCTGCTCAAAGATAGGCTAGTTTTCAAAAATTTCATTCCAAAGTTTCGGAAAGGATTAAGTATAGATCAGATAGAGCAAATCTCGGACTACAAGGTCATATTTTTAGATTCTCCTAATCTGCTGTTTTTAGCTAGAAAAAAATTATTTCTCAAGAGGTCTCGTTTTTGGCAAAGTCATGAAACACGCAACTGCAGCAAATACACGGAAGTTTTCAAAGTTTCCGCGAAATGAAAAGTGTTCTTATTGAGCATTATTTATGCAACATAACCAAGTTTGATTTCCTTTGAAAAGCAGCTTTTTGGGTACTTTTACGTGGTAAACGTAATCAAAAAATCGCGCTTTTTATTAAATAATCAATTGTAACGGACTTGGTAGACGTGACTCATGTAATCTAAAATAAACGCAATGTAGCCAAAGGTTTGCTCTACAATAGCAGTTACCAGCGTTCTTTGAAAACATCAGGATAATAA